AATCTGGGGTTAATTACTAATTTTGTCATTTTAAGCAATAATTAAATACTAATATTACTATGCCAATTTTTATCGTATTAACATTTAATATATCAATTAGCTTTTTTTTTTCTATTTAATTTCATTTTGAAATAAAATTTGAAAAAAATTTTCACCATAATTTAATTTTGAAATTATCATTTCAAAATATTTTTTCAAGAATTGTAAGATTGAAATTTTTAGAAATATGGGCACAATAAGTGCACTAATTGTCATCTGTTGTTTGATTATTTCCGCTGCATTAACTGTAATTATTATTCTGGTAACTATACCAACTGAAATTACTCACGAATCAAATTTTCCCGAGATATGGATTAATCGAAAAAATATCCTCGATGATACCAAAAGAATACCATATAACCTGAAAAACGATTTATTACAAAATTTACCCGTAATTGGAACTACTGGAGCAACTTCAACTACTACTACTACTACTACTAGTACTACCACTACTATTATTACTACTACTACTACTGCTTTTGCTAGTGCTACCTTAATTACTAATACTACTCTAGTAGCAACAACAGCTATCAATCTTATTACTTTACCTAATACTGCTAAAATATTGAAGCATACAAAATTTGAAAATGATAAGCTATCTTATCAATCATTGATATCATCAACCACGATACCAATAAAAATCTGGAAATCGAATCAAAATAAATCATCACAAAGACGTACCACAGTAAATTTAAGCACCAATATTACGGTAACACGAGGAAAAAAGGTAACATTAGGTAATCGACGATCTGCGACACAAATACGACATCATTCGATATCTAATGAAGTAACACCAAGAAATTTACGACAAAATTTAGCAACATTAATGTTACATCAACATATCGAGCAATTACCATTGAATGATGATAATTTAGCAAAGAATAAAGGAGAAAGAGAGCAAGTGATGCAAATGACATTGTTAAATGAGGTGACATTTCCGAATGATGTCAAAGTGGTAGGATTAGCGATACAACATGAACTTCTTTATGTTGCTACTAATGATGGTCAAATTGCAATGATAAATCCGGAAACTGGTAAACAGGTATGATATAATAATACCGGTTCATTTTTTTGTTTCCAATTTCATTTTTGTTTGAAATGAAAAATTCGATTAATTATGAAGAAAAAAAAGTGATCGCATTGTTAATGTATGAATATGATATATAAATAGCCTTTGAGAGATTTTCCCGAAGATTTTCCCGAATATGATATATAAGTAGCCTTTGAGAGATTTTCCCGAAGATTTCCCCGAATACGATATATAAATAGCC